CAGTTTTAACCTTCAATATTATAGTAATGTAGTACCAACTGACTCTCATATATATTGTAGTTGAGTTATTTTTTTTCTTTCAGAAAATTCGGCATGTACTGTACCTGATATATATATATCCAAAATAATCGATATTGAATTGAATCGAATTGGAAATTGAATCGAATCGCAAGCTTGTGAATGAGAATTGAATCGAATCGTGAAGTTTGTGTCAAAACCCAGCCCTAAAGATTTTGTCTTATAAAGGTCAGCTCACATCTTTCATGATAAGCAACGCTAAACCTGAAAGACACAGGTTCTCAAATGAGTCAACTGTGACGTAGAAATGCAGTATGCCTAGGTTTTAAATGACAGAGAGCAAGCCATTTGAATTAGGTTGCAGATCAACTTATATTCCACAATATGACTTCATATTTTACAGTTGCAACTTAATTTCTTGTAATAACTTAATTTCTCACAATTGACATTTTATTTCTCATAATTGCATCTTTATACACTACTGTTTAAAGGTTTGGGGTTAAGATTTTAATGTTTTTTGAAAGAAGTATTATATGCTTACCAAGATTGCATTTATTTTATTAAAAAAGTAAAATATTGTAAAATATTATTACAATTTTAAATAGCAGTTTTCTGTTTAATGTATTTTAAAATGTATTTAATTCCTGTGATAGAAAAGCTGAATTTTTAGCAGCCATAACTTCTATCTTCATTGTCACTTGATGCTTCAGAAATCATTATAATATGCTGATTTGGTGCTAATGATTTTTTATAAAAAGTGATACACTTTTTCCAAGATTATGTCATTAATAGAAAGTTTAAAAGAACAGCATTTATATAAAATAAAACATTTAAAAGTATTGAAGTTTTTATTATCACTTTGGATCAATTTAATGCATCGTTGCTGAATAAAAGTATTGATTTTGTTAAAAAAAATTCTTACTGACCCCAAACTTTTGAAGGGTAGTGTATCTCACAGTGTGATATGTCACATTCCAACTTATTTCCAACCATATTTTTCAGAAATAACATTGTTTTTGACACTAGGAAGCCATGAATAATAATGAGATAATTTTTCTTTCTAGAATCCATAAACTGATACTGATGTAATGATATTCAATAGCTTAAAATGCTTCTGCAGACCACTATGAAAATCAAAATTGCAATGAGAAAAAAACAGTTGCTTTCATGAACCCTCCAGCTGCGTAGCACCAATGTGTCTAATGTTTAATAAATGGACACATCGTGCAGACGAATTAATGAATAAACAGAGGTTTATGATTACTAGACACAAACCTAGCTGACAGCCCCTGCTTTCCCCTAAGTGTCTTTGTTTGTGAGTGTCAACTGTCTGTCACATGTATTTGTCATCCTGTGAGACCTGTCTGTCCCATTCCCTTCTACCCATCTGTTACGTGTTCTAGTCTGTCCCATCTGCCCAGGTTTCTTCTGAGGCCACCTTACAGGTGAGAGTTTTTTGCCTACAGGATCTCCAATCTTCTAAAAAGTGCTGTGGGCTACTGATATTTTTGTAATAAAACATGCTTTAAAGGTTTTTTTAAAAGCCATTATTCAAGCTTAAAACCTTAGCAAACAGAGTGTGCGGTTCATCCATATTCTGTGGAGGCTGTTTGGGGATCCCACAGGAAGTACCACTGCAGTGGGAGATAAGCGTTGCTTTGATTCTTGTGAAACTGGGCACTCTTTTGCTTGGACATTTGTTTTTTTTTAGCTTCTCTTCAGGCACTCTTTCATAGCAGCCTGTAAAGCTTCTTTTCCCATCATGCCTTGAAGCGAGAGCCCTGTGCAGTCTATAGACTAACTCTATACCCGCTTGCTTGTATGCCTGAAGTGCCATTATTGACAAAAAGCCTCACAAAGCATGAAGATCCTGCAGCCTATTTAACACGGGATAACACCATCCGCCAATGGCTGGGCCAAATGAACTTTAGCCCTGCAGTCTGGATTAGACTTGAGCCTGGCAACCATTGGACTGCTGATGGGGTCTTTTCTTTTGTTGACAAGTTTTAAAGGGCACCCAGTCTCAATTCACCCCTTTCTAGTGCACAAAGACACAGCAAATCAGGACATGAACATGTCACAGAGAAAAACAAACAAACATATAAAACACATTTCTTCTGGAATATGTAATGTTTGTTTGCTGGGTCTCTTTGGGGAAGACCAGTGCTCAGTGTCTGTTATAATTGGCTGTCACCAGTATTATCTCTACATTGCCATTTCCTTTTTTCTGTGTGAATGTTTACATTTATGCTTCCTGTTTAAGGTTCAGACCATTGTAGGAAAATTAGGCTTCATGAAAGTTAACTTATATTTGGAGACAGATACAATATTGCAAGCTAACACAATATATATATATATGTGTGTGTGTGTGTGTGTGTGTGTATGTGTGTGTGTGTGTACATACATACATGTTGCAGTATTAATGTAATTTTTTTTAAAGAAGTGAATACTTTTATTCCAAAACACATTACATTGTTTAATAGTGACAATAAATGCATTTATAATGTTACATATTCTGTTTTAAATTAGTGTTTTTGTTATTTTGAACTTTTTATTTATCAAATAATCCTGAAAAAAATTATACGGTTTCCACAAACATATTAAGCAGCACATCTGTTTTCAAAATTGATAATAATAAGAAATATTTCTTGAACACGAGGAATGCAGTGATGCTTTGGCATCACAGGAATGCAGTTTTAAATTGTAATAATATTTCTCAATGTTATTGTTTTTGCTGTATTTTTGATCAAATAAATGCAGCACCAAAGTTTTGAAGCCTTTTCTTGTGAGGGACAACTTGATATTAATAACTTGCCTTTTATCATTCATAGCACTGTGAAAAGAACAAGTTCATCTGAGCAAGTTGGCCCCAACAACAGGAAAGACAGTGGTGTGGACTCCAAAAGCAATCGCACACGCGCTGGTTCCACAGGGAGCAACTCCAGTGGCAAGAAAGCCACAGAGAAGTATGTAAATTAGTATGTATATATGCTTTTATTCCCATGTGATTGACTGAATAAGAGCAACTCATACACTCAAACGTTACACAAGCACAATTAGATGACTTTCTTCCCTTCTCACTTCCTGCAGCAAACAGAGGGAGCCTGTTTTCAGCGCAGGTAAGAGTCAGGTGTCCTGTTCCCATGTGATAGAGTATGTGTCTCTGAACCAAAACTGGATCATTCACAAGCAATGGTTATACTGTCATTGTTCTTTTTGACCAGACTTTCCAGAAAGTACAGACTCTTGCCAAATACATGTCCTCAAAATAAATGGCAGGCCACCCAGACGTCCTTTTTGTTTAGCAGCAGTGTAGCTCAATTAGAAGGTGGACAGATGTTACAGTGGGGCTGTGGTGAATTAAGGGAAACTCATTCAAGAAAAAAGTGATTTTAGAGATTTCTGCTTGTGTGATCTCCAGTCATGGCTCATGGAAGTACAATCTTTATTTCAGTTAATTTCACCATTAAATTACCTGCTATTCTTTTGTCAGTAACATGTCATCTCTTACCAGAAACATTTCCTCTTTTCATTTTTGTGTTTATTTAATTTAACTTATGTTCTGTTTAAATGAATCATTTGTATGCATTCGGCTGAAAAGCAAATAAATTATTGTAGTAGAAAATGATCAGAATTAATATTTACTGTTATATAAGTATAGTTACTAAGCATAGAAACGGCAGAATTATGTTAATTACTCTCTCAGTAGCAAGAACAAGGTCTTTCAAAGTAAAAAAGCTCTTCAAGGTCTTACAGGCATTTATAGCCATTGTGTTTATCTATTATGCATCAGTTTTGGTTAGAAGCTGTGCAGCTCGTTTTTTTGAAAGAGATACAAAGGAATTCAGCAGCAGTTCTTTGGAACGTCAGAACAAATTTGATTTGGTGTCAGTGTAAAAGCAGAGCGTTCAGTGTGTGCAGCCATATGAGGCAGAATAAAACAAGCTGTTCTGCCTGAAGGCAACATTTGCATGTTCCTTACTGTATATGTGACCCTATTAATGTATTTAACTGTGCCCAAAACTCTGATTAATTGAGGTCATAAAGACAGCAATTCCAGATGTTAAATATACAGTACACCAAATTAACCGGTGGATTTGTTAAATAGAGCACTTGGCGAATGAAACGACTATCCTGGAGGAGCTTGTAGAGTAATTACCCAGACATGGCGAGCTGGTATCATATGAACAGGGATCTGTCTTTCCATCAGCCGTTTTCTGCCATCTTACGTGATTGTCTCTGTCTCTGTACATATACAAAGGGATGCGACGTGTGACGCACTGCAAAGGTAGGCTCTGTTTGTCAACTGTCCCTTGCGTGAGCAGCTCTGTGGACACAACTTGATTCCCGAAGCCAGAGGGAAGTCAACAATTACAGATTGAGGGCAATTATGACTCCTTGCTTAAAAATGCAAAGACAGCTGGTAGAGTTGAGAATCATTATTTATGAACTGCCAGATACTTTATGAAGCCATTTTTCTTTAAAGACCCTTATTAAATAGATTATTCTTTCTTTTTTCTTTTTTACATGTTTTTGTATTTGAGACATATTTGATACAACAGGAAATGACATCATAGTGGGGACCCCTGCAGACTCTCATGACTTAGTCAAGGTTAATAAATCACATAAAATATCAGATAATTTGACCTTTATATTATATCCCTCAAGGGAAGGTTAACATCGGATGTAAAAAATCATGTTGTGGGACTCTATGAAAAATAATGATATTTAAACTTGAAAATAATGAAGACAGGGTACACCAGGGTTAGTATAGTTAACTGAAGCTAAAACTAAAACTATAAAAAAAGTACTAGAATTTAAATAAACATTAACTAAAATAAAATATAGGCATATAAAACATAATATTTGAATATTAAATAAAATTAGTTAATGTTTTAACTTTTATGTATTAGAGTCATTAAATGTAAATGTTTTTTTAAAAATGTAGATTTTTTTTTAAACCATATGAAACCAACGTCAACAGAGTACATTCCTAAGAATTGGCGTCTGTGTTTTAAACTAGACTTTTAAAGGATTTCTGCCACCAATCTTTGATTTTATTGGGTCTTAAGAGATGTCTTACTCCTTTTTATTATGGTTGTTTCTGCTGTAAGAAGCACATAATGCCCCTTTATGCAGTTTATTCTAGCGATTCCAGATGGGACAGTAATCTAGCAGACATAGCTCTGGATCATAGCTCTGGATCATAAATCATAGCTCTGGCTTCATATTATGGAATCAGCACACACAGAGCTGTCTTGCGTAAGGGTTTGGGTTGATTAGACAAATGCGTGTCTGATAGAAGTTCCCACCCTTCTTCCAGAAATGCTACCCTTCCCAATAAACTAATGCACTCTCTGTAGCACCCTTCTGAGTGATGCCAACCTGTGGTTGATCGCAGTGGTGCTAAAACACAGGCTGTTAACTCTTGAGTGATGCTGCTCTGACAGCTCCTGGGTGTTTTGCTCACTGCTCATGGCACTTGTTTTTCACATGCACCATGGGAACCCAACACTCTCCTGCAGTCACACAGCAACACACTGAACGGCTTTTATTCCAGTAGTTTATTGCTGCTTTTTTCTCCACGTACACGTGTTTGTTCTTTCAGTCCCGTAAAGGACATTTATCATCCTGTGTCAACCAGCTTTTCTGTTATTTCTCTGAAACTGGAATTGGGTGTTTATCATAAATCTGAAGTTAAATGTCATGCTGGTTTGTGTGCAGTGTGTCACTGTTAGTGGAAATTATTTTCCCAAAACTGTTGTCTTCAGTGTTGATGCAACACTCAGTGAATGACTCACTATGCCCACTATGTTTTATAGTCACAAAATACTTGTAAGGCAAGCAAATTAAAAAACCAAACCTCACTTGGGTGGTTGGAGTAATCTTTCTTCAGAATACATTTTATCAGTTTATTTCCAGTATTCATGGTTTTCCTCGATCAAGATAACATTCAGTTTCCCATGCGCCTCCCCTTCCCATCAGCACTGCAAAAATCTTTTTCATAAGCAGCATTTTTGGCTTGTTTTCCAGAGAAAAGTAAATATATTTAAAACAAGATTTAAAAAAAAAAAAATGAATGAATAAAAATAAACTATTAATGTCCTCTCTCTCTTTTTTTTTTTTTTGGAAAATACATTTTGAATAATATTTTTATTTTATTTCTTAGTGTGTTTTTATAAATTATTTTTCCTCCTAGAAGGAAAAAAACAATTTGCCAGAATAGTAAGAAACACAATTTAATTCAAGATATATTCTCTGAAAATGTTCCCTATATTTTCTTCTCAAGTAAATTGTTGTTGCTTTCGGATATGTTACTGCAAATCAAGAAAAATACAAATTAAGAAAAAGATCATTTTGGAGTGTAGTTTCTTAGTTTTGTGGACGCCTTGTCTTCTTGTTATTATGGTGGTATCTAAAGCTATTGGACAATATCTGATCATGATTATACTTCATCCCACCTCTCCACCCTCTCCCGCACCCGCCCTGTCCAATTTGACCACTTCACCTATAGTAACCGTGCAGCTCTACCTGCACCGGCCGTCAAAAAGGACCGGACCTGCTGAGCCCCCCAAATCCGCATCAGCCGTGCCCTCGCAGTCCACCAACACGCCATCAGAGGCCAAGGTTTTGTCTGACAGAGCGGCCCGGCTCGGAAGCCGAAAGGTCCCTCCGTTTACCCTTCCTCTGAGGAAGTGTACTTCTCAGTTAGTCCACTCGCCCCTAGATATGCCCTCTTACAGGAGTCCAATCAAATCTCCCAGCCAGTATTTTCAAATCTGTTACTAATCAAAACAGCTGTAATCTTAAACGTAGTCAGGTGGAGTCTTTTGTTCTGTTCTGTTCTGTTCTTTTTGTTTTGATTGTGTCTCTTTGAGTTAGTTTTGTTTCATGTTGTGTATATGTTAATCTGTGTTCACACTTTTGTCTTTTTGTTTGTTTTGTTCATGTGTGCATTTTATAAACTGTACATTTCCTTTTCCACTGTGTTTGCATGCATGCCTATCTGTGATTTTATTTTGTGTCTATTACTAATTGATCAAACCATCAAATTGCTGCATTCACATGCTTCTGCATTTAACTTGGCTTTGTTTGTCTTTACTTTTAAATTGAGTGTATTTCAAATACTGTACGTAATAAAATGCATTAAAGCATTTCCTTTAAATCTCACTGATCTGTTGAATTATTTTCAGAACATAATATATATTCTTTTAAACATTGTTGCAATTCCTTCTAATCTTCCTTTTGGGATAAAAGCATTTCATTTTGTCTTCGATTAACATTTAATCACATTTTAAAATATACTAACATTCAAAAAGTTGGGGTCAGTAAGATTATTTAATGTTATAAGTCTCTTAAGCTTACATTTATTTAATCAAAAATACAGTGAAAATAGTATTATTGTGAAATATTAATGCAATATAAAATAACTATTGTGATATATTGTAAAAAGTAATTTATTCATGTGATGGCAAAGCTGAATTTTCAGCATCATTACTAATTTGCTGCTCAAAAAACATTTCTACTTATTGTCAATGCTGTTAACAGTTGTGCAATGAATATTTTTGTGCAAACCATGATACATTTTTTGCGTTCTTTGATAAATTGAAAGTTCGACAGAACAGCATTTATTCTAAATAGATTTTTTTCACTTTTGATGTTCATTGCTGAATAAAAGTATTAATTTATTTCACAAAAAATAAACAGGTAAATATAATAAATTGTACTGACCCCAAATTTATGTCTGATTTAACATTGTTTTACTCAAAATTTGATGACCCAACAGATGTCACAGCGATCCTTCACTGACCCATGCATTTTCTTGCTCTAAACATCTGCGTTGCTTTTTCTAGATGAAGGGTATGTCAAAATGTATTTGAAGGGACGACCCATCACCATGTACATGCCCAAAGACCTGGTGGACACATACTGCCTGGAAGCAAAGGCTGACTTACCTCCTAAAAAACTGAAGCTAGACTGGGTGTATCCTTTGCGAAATAGAAATGGAGCTGCATTTCGATTGATTCTTGTATTGAACACTCATTGCTGTAAGATTGAATTAACTGTTGATTTATTATTACACAGAAAATGAGCTGGTAAAAATGTCATGAGCTAAGTGATGCATATGGTTTCTAGGTCCAAGTTATGTGTTACAAGATTATTGTGCATAATAATAAGCTTCTGAAACATGGACCTCAAAAGGTATTATTCACTGTGATGGACTAATTCCATATTTACAATCCAAGTTGAATTTTGAGGCATGAAGGATGTCTAATCATGTACCCTGGTGTTCTCTCTGGCTCTGCTGAGCACTGCAGAGTGGGATATTTTTTGCATCTCTTACCCATAGTGCATTCGGTACATTGCCTAAAAACAACTTTGTAGACAAGACTGAGAAATCTATAGCCCAACAAAATAAAATATTGAGTGGTCAGCTGGCACTTTTCCAGAAATAAAAATGTTAAAATTTTCCTGGTTTGTTCCTAATTTAGCTCATCGACAGTAGTTTTTGCTCTTGACTATGACCCAGCTATGGTTACCGGGGCCGTGACTGTCGATCCAACCTGTATTTGCTCCCGACAGGGGAAACGGTTTACTTCATTGCATCTGTGGTTGTGCTGTATAATGTGGATGAGCAACTACAAAGACACTACACTGGACATACTGATGATATCAAGTGGTAAGACTTATATTTTGGTTCATGTGACGTCATCGTCTATTTGTTCACCGTAACATACACTGATCTCAAACTCTGTAAGATCATCGAACCAGTACATTCAGTATCTTTTTGTCACCTCAAAACCGCCTTATCTAAAGAAGATACAGCAGCTTAAATTATTATTCCGATATTCTGCAGCATCATTTTTCAAAACTATGCTGAATACACGATTTCTGAGCAGTGTTGTTTAATTTTCTGCTTTGATGTGCAATTCTACAGAACATTTATCATTAGTCGTGTCACTGAAGTTTATTATTCATTCCACTGTCATCCCTCAATCTGTATTTTGCCTTTGTGTTACACGACATTAGTTTTGTGGGGGTATAAAAGACCTCAAGGACATTTTAAAAGTTTAGACCTCCTTCAGGGAACGAGGGTTACATACGTAACCGAGACGTTAATGCATTATCCTTTATGCATAAAATGTCAATAAATTAGTGACGTTATGCTTAACATTGAAGTTTCAGATTCCTATTTATTTATTTTCCTGTTTGAATATACTATTGACGTTTTAACTTTTGCTTAATAACACTATTTAATCTTCATGAAAATGTTATGTCTTTTAAATTAACACTTTTATTCAGTAAGGGTGCATTAAATTGATCAAATGCTACAGTAAAGAAATGTATAATATTACAAAAGATTGCTATTTCAAATAAATGCTGTTCTTCATCAAAGAATCCTGAAAAAAATGATCACAAATGCACAACTGTTTTCAACATTGATAATAATAAGACATGCATTTTGAGCAGCAAATCAGCATATCAGAATGATTTCTGAAGGATCATGTGACACTGAAGACTGGAGCAATGATGCTGAAAATTCAGCTTTACATCACAGAAATAAATTAGGTTTTACAATATATTGAAATAGAAAACAGTTCTTTTAAATTGAAATAATAATGAACAATATTACTGTTTTTATTGTATTTGTGATTAAATAAATGCAGCCTAGGAGAGCATAAGAAATGTCTTTCAAACACATCAAAGAAATCTTACTTGCTTTTGAAACTTTTGAATAGTGAATATCAATGGCCCCAAACTTAAAAAGGTCAAGTCAGCAAAACACACTTAAAAAAAAGTCAAGCCATCAGAACATTAGACAAAGTATAATGACATTAATATATTTTCCTCTTGACCTCCAGTCTCCAGTTGAGACATAAACCTAAAGGTACAACACAACTGATCATGTATGACTGAGTGAAATCTCATATTTTGTTCATCTGTATAGGAATTTACAGAATGTCAAGGCTGTTCATTGTAAGTCAAAGGCCTTGAGCAAGAAAAGCATAAAGAGAAAACATTAACCAAGATATTCATGATCAGTTTCCTGTGTTTATGATCAGTCCTGTGACTCATAATGCTCAAAGTCACAAGATAAGTCAAAGATAAGATGTGTTGTGACTGCACTGACTCGCAGAGACAAAAATGTGCAATGTCTTCTCACTGCTGTGTCATCGGCTCTTCAACAGTCCCAGCTGCCTACATCTTTCACCTCTTTTGTCTTCCCCTACAGCCTCGCTGTCCATCCTGATAAAATCACCATAGCAACAGGACAAGTGGCTGGCACATCCTCAGATGGAAAAGTAAGATCACTTATTTTAAACCGGTATCAATCATAAACATGAATAGCTTATTGCTACTATAATTGGCTATAGTTACCTATAGTTGTACTATAGTTATACTATAGTTGGCTTGATCCAACCAAAATAAATCTGCCAATTATTGCATGTGCCACAAGGGTCTGTCACAACAAATGTGGAGGATCAAGATCCCACATCCACATGCTTTAATTAGAAGTCGAATTGGTTTAACATGCTCGGTACATCTGTCTGTTTCTGGCAGCTTTTGGCTCCTCATGTGCGAGTGTGGGACTCTGTGAGTTTGAACACGTTGCACATCCTTGGAACCGGTTTCTTTGATCGAGCTCTGGTTTGCCTTTCCTTCTCAAAGTCGGTAAGAACAAGTCACTCTGTATTATGTTAGCAAACAAACGCTCTCATGTGAAACCACAAAATACAGCTTATTGTTCTTTGAATCATCAAACAAACCTGTCTTTATTATGAATACTAGGTGGTATTTTCTGTAGCCTTCAGTTTAAAGGGATAGTTCACCCAAAAATGAAAATGTAGTCATCATTTACTCACCCTCTAGTTGTTCCAAACAGAAGATATATTAAAGAATGTTGGCAACCAAACAGCATTGACCTGTATACTATGGGAAAAAATACTGTGGAAGTCAACTGATTGGTTACCAACAATCTTCAAAATATCTTTTTTTGTGTTCAGCAGAAAAAAGAAACTCTTACAGGTTAGGAACAGCTTGAGGGTGAGTAAATGATGACTGAATTTTCCTTTTTGGGTGATCTGTCCCTTTAAATACATCTGTCAAAAGAGGTTGTGAGTGATCAAATTTGACATTTCAAACATTCAGAACGGAGGAAGCTGGTTGTGTGTTGTGGACGACTCCAATGACCACATTCTCTCTGTGTGGGACTGGCAGAGGGAGGAAAGACTTGCTGAAGTCAAGGTGAGTGCTGTTCAGGATATATTGAACAGATATATTAGCTATGTCAACAAGAGGCGTGCAGAAATGAACTGATTCCCTTTTTTGTGCTTCTTCATGACTTTTCTTTCTCTGCCCTCACAGTGCTCCAATGAGTCAGTCTTTGTTGCTGATTTCCACCCGACAGATGCTAATATAATGGTTAGCTGTGGAAAGTCACACCTTTACTTCTGGTCATTAGAAAAGGGAACTCTTGTGAAAAAACAGGGTCTTTTTGAGGTAATCTGTCATAATCCTTTGTGGTCAAATTCAGTGAATCTTTTCACTTTTTTATTGAATTAAATTGCATGTCAGATATGGTGAAATGTGCATGTACATCATGTACACTAGCAGTTGAAGGTTTAGACACATCTACTTATTCTGTATTATTACTGTTTTATACTTCTAAGAATAATAGTAGGGTCATCAAAACTATGAAATAACAAACGGAAGTATGTGAGTTATATTGTGTATTAATCAAAAATACAATTAAAACTATTTAGCTTCTGGTGCATAATGGGTTTAACTAAAAAATAACTAGAATGTTACTTTTGTAAAGAAATGTATGCATTGCCATTTGTAGTTGGTAAGATGTTTTTGAAAAAAGATTGTTTTTGAAAGAAGTCTCTTATGCTCACCAAGGCCGCATTTATTTGATTTAAAAAATACAGTAAAAGCTGAAAAATTGTGAAATAGTATTGCAATTTAAAATAGCTGTTTTTTTATTTTAAAATACTTTAAAATATTTCATTATTTTTTATTATATTAATAATTTAAAATATTCATTATAAAATGTAATTTATTCATGTAATGGCAAAGCTGAATTTTTTTAGCAGCCATTAATCCAGTCTTCAGTGTCATATTATTTCTTATTATTAATGTTGGACAAGTTGTACTGCTTAATATTTTTGTGAAAGCCATGATGCATTTTATCAGGATTATCTGATGCATATAAAGTTCAAAAGAACAGCATTTATTTAAAGTAGAAATTTTTCGTGACATTATAAATGTCTGCACTGTCAACTTTTGGTCAATTTAATGCATCCTTGCTAAAGTATTAATTTCTTTAAAAAAAAGAAAAAAAGCTTAAGCCTTTTAGATCCAAAGGCTCTCAAGTACCTGAGAAACTTAAATTCAGTTAGATGTGCCCAAACATTTCACTGGTAGTGTAGTTGTGGACTATGAAAAACATGTAATCTCTTTTGTGTGATACATCTATTGCATTTCTGCTTTAAAAATAAAGTCATATTTATGTTTCTTGCAGAAACAAGAGAAGCCCAAGTTTGTATTGTGTGTGACTTTTTCAGAAAATGGCGAAGCCATCACTGGAGACTCGAGTGGAAATATACTTGTGTGGGGCAAAGGTAAAAGAATAAAAGGTTTATTATTATGGAGTTATTTATTGATTTATTTGGACATTTTGAGAAAACCTACCTCCATTGAATTGTGTAAAATATCTTCTTTATAAAATACAATTATGAATGCTGTACAGCATAACAGCTGTGTGTTATCTAAGGGTGACCCTGCTGCCAACAAAAGATTCTTTATTAGTAATAATAAAAGAGAGATTGTGCTCCATTTTTACACAAATCAATAAGATTCTTCATGTAGCCTGTGATCACCTTTGATTGTCTGATATACTGATGATGATGGTTTCCATTTTTGTAACAGTCGGTTTATATAATGCATGTTTTCTGGTCATGGTTCACAGGATCTAATCGTATTAGCTTAGCCATTCAGGGAGCACATGAGGCAAGCGTCTTTGCACTTTGCATGTTGAGAAATGGGACGCTGGTCTCCGGCGGGAAGGATCGTAAACTCATCTCCTGGGACGAAAATTATCATAAGATTCAAACGGTGGAGGTAAGGCATCTACATAGGTATCATTTTGCAGTATGCAGTATGCATTTGTATGCTTGAATAGTAGTACCGATCAAGCAGGCAACCATAATTTACCAGCTGTTTTGTATGTTACTCTCAGGTGCCTGAGTTATATGGCCCTATTCGGACTGTGGCTGAAGGACGGGGAGAAACGGTTCTCATTGGCACTACCAAAAACTATGTCCTGCAAGGCAATCTGGATGGGGAGTTCATACCCATCACCCAGGTAAGTTAACCAGTGTAGGTACAATACTTCATGAGTAACCAGTGTTTTCTGTGGCCCGCCAGGTGTGTTGAGAAGATACTGTATATAATATATTGTACATAACATATGGAATTATTAACTTATTAAATTATAGCATAATTATTAAGTAATTTCTAATCTGTTTTCTGTTTGATATTGGATATTGATTATGCTCATTTCTCATTATTTTAACATTTAGATGAGACCTTTCTTATCATCTAACACTCAGAGTTAATCTTTCCAATTGATTTATTATAGAATAATAATAATTATAATTTAAAATAAAACAATACTAATTAAAAATGTTTTAGTATATAATATTTAGTATATAATGAATATTTTATATAAAATATTTAATAATATATTAAATATATAAATAATTATTGAATTAGTCTATTTAATACATTTTTAAAATATGTAAATAAATACATGTTAAATCTTTAGGATATCATTTTATTAGGATAACATTTTAATTTAAATGTTATGTTTTCTATGTTACATTTTTAAATTAAATGTAGTTTTTAAAATGATATATTAAATGTTTTAATTAAATTATTTACAAAGTAATTATTAGAGAAGAACTGATCTGTATTGGTCAATACTGGGTATATATTTGATATTTACTATGGTCCTTTCTCCCTGTTTTTACATTTACACTCATGTAAAATTAATCTTTAAAAACAAAAATTATTGAAATATTTTCTATAATTTTTTAAATGATAAATAATTTAATAACACTTAAATATTTAGCAAATCTCAAAATGAACATCCATTTTCATACTGTACATTATAAGGTTGTGATGCCTAAATTCACTTGTAGCATTTAAAACATCCATTTTTTTGTGGGTATTAAATAAAATAACACAATTATTATTACCTTATCAGTATCGGCCAGAATATTAATATTAGTAGTGTAAGTTAATGTGTCTCTGGCCCTCTAAATGTTGAAAATGTTTGTTATAGAACAAAGTTTATTCCCTTCTATGTTGAAACAAAATGAATCCTTTTTTGGGTAAAAGGGTGATTCAGTTTGTGGTTCTAAAACAGAATGCATTTGATGTTTTAAACTTTCTTTGAAACTTCAATTCAAACCAAATTGATGCCACCCACACTGCTATTTAAGTCTGTTGACTGTTTGATCGTCAGAGCCACACAGATGAGTTATGGGGCCTGACTGTACATCCGCTGAAGCATCAGTTCCTCACCTGTGGCCATGACAAGCACGTCTGCCTGTGGGACTCTGCCTCTCATCAGCCCATCTGGACCAAAACATTGGAGGTGAGCAGCCCGCCTCGGTAGGATTCACTTACATTACCGTAGTCTCATCTCACAGCTCACACATCAGTTTCTTGTTATTGAAACCCTTGTCACTACTGCAACTGTAATGAAATGAGCTCTGCTGTTCCTTGGGCTGAGATGTAACCGTATTTGTGCTGACAGGATGTTTGATTGAGCATGTATGTGTTTCCCTCACGGACAGGACGCCGCGCAGTCAGCCGGCTTCCACCCTTCTGGAGCGACAGTTGCTATAGGAACGCAGACGGGCAGGTGAGGCGATTCCTTTTCATCAACGGGGTCCCTGACACATCATTACAATTCAGAAAAGGGGTCTAATAGAGTGTTACATGGAAGACCCCAACACTTATTATTATGCTAATGCAACACAGGAACACAATACCCTCCCAGTGGCATTGTTCAGCAGTCTTTGATTTTTTTTCTTCACTAAGAATCCTGATAATGGCTTTGGATGAAGAGTCTAACGTTCGTTCTGTTTCAGGTTTCTTTAGACTTGTACGTTTAATATTGTCCTTTCACTCATTCTCAATCTGTGCAGGTGGCTTGTGCTCGATACCGAATCGAAGGATCTTGTCACGGTGCACACGGACGGGAACGAACAGCTGTCGGTTATGCGCTTTTCTCCAGGTTAGAGTTAATTCTCCCAGCAACCTTTTCACTGCTTGCTGGGAAAACATTAGGATGTTAGCCAAAAACTAGCACTCATTAAAGTCTCTGCAATTGATTAAATTGAAAACCCTCGATTATTCTTTCCAGATGGTCATTTCCTTGTGATCGGGTCACATGACAACTACATCTACATTTATGCTGTGGCAGAAAATGGAAAGAAATACAGTAGAGTTGGAAAGTGCTCAGTAAGTAATGTGTGTTTATGAAAAAAAGATATGACTTATTTGTATAACAAATGTGTAATAGATTATCATAGACCACACATGAGATAATAGACTAGCTGATTCTACCCGTGTTTTTTTTTTTTTGTATTTATATACCAATACGGTATTTATTAATATCTTGAAATGGCTTTTATTTTTATGTTTTCAGTTTTACATTTTTTATTTATATTTCAGCTTTTTATTTATTAATGTAAATGATTTTCAATAGTTTTAAACACTGCCACATTATATTTTCTGTTCATATAGACACAAACACACATCTGTCTCCTCAAATGAATGTTGTTTTTTATGTTTGTATCCCCTATCCATTATTGCTCACAGGGTCATTCTAGTTTCATCACCCATCTGGATTGGTCTGTGGATTCTCAGTACTTGGTATCCAACTCAGGGGACTATGAGATCCTTTACTGTGAGTATCTATATGTATCTTTACTGTGAAAGCAGAGTGAAATAGACAGTTGCTCTGACAGTTCATTTGTAATTCAATCAGTGCAAGTATGGCAAAATTTCTATCCTATGAAATATTATAGTGTAGAAAAATGTGTATTTGTTATAAAAATATAAAACGCTATATGAAAGTGTTATAAAAATGCCCTTTTAAGACTTTATTGAATATTTTTCCAGGTCTATAAATTGCACTTATAAAATCAGGCATCCTCATATATCCATGTTTTCCAAGACTGTGGGAACCCTGGTTCTTCAAAGAAAAAAAAACTTGTTGAGGAGTGAATTAAAACAAGTGATATCATTGGCTTTGGCTTATTTTAATGATATTTTTCTCTTTTTTAAACATTTCAGGTAATCTTGAGGCCCCCTAGTGTTTGAGAACCACTGAGTTAAATCGATCTGTTTATACAATAAATTCATTAACTGATTCACATTATTGTCTTTCAGGGATTCCTTCTGTGTGCAAGCAAGTAGTGAGTGTGGAGACCACCCGGGATATTGAATGGGCCTCTTTCACCTGTACTCTGGGCTTCCATGTTTTTGGTAAGGTTAATGTTTTATGTCATGGATCGCATTGTAAAATAATAATAATTCTTTAAAACCAGCTTTATTTGTAATGATAGTAAACAAATATAGCTAAATTGAACAAATCACAGTCTTCCCCATGTATCCATAGCTGCATAAGAGTGTTAGTTTTGTAGCGTTGTCTTTTATGAATGTAAGTGTACAGCCGTAAATCCATAAGGAAATGATATACAGTATATTCTGTTTGTGTTACTCTCCAGGACTGTGGCCAGATGGCTCAGATGGTACTGATATCAATGCTGTGTGCAGTTCAAATGCAAAGAGGCTGCTCGTCACCGGAGACGACTTTGGCAAAGTTCACCTCTTCTCATTCCCTTGCTCTCAGTCCCGAGTAAGAACCAGTACTAAATCTAAAACATCAGAGAGATAGTGTTCATTTTAGTACCAAATAATGCTAATATATGGTATTATTTCTCTCTATCCACCTCTGCAGGCTCCTAGTCACATCTACTGTGGACACAGCAGCCACGTCACCAATGTTAACTTCTTACATGATGACAGCCACCTTCAGAAAGTCCAAACAATTAAATGCTAATTTACAGTCAGCGCTCGAATGCTATTTGCTCCGGTGACATTTGAAAATATGAACCAGTTATGTATGGACATGAAGAGTGATTCTTAAACTTAAACGATTCATTTGAATCATTGATTCATTCGCTAACGTTCTTTAGGACACGCCTAGAAATGGATCCCCAGAATACTTTCTGAGCAGTCAGCTCATAGAATTTGGCACACAGCCAGTGAAAGCTCGAGCTGAGGTCTTTTATGAGTGAGCAGATTCTTCACCTGTTTTCTGTTCTGCTGACGCCGGCGGATAGAGACAGTGTTTGGGTGTGTATTAACGCTTATTCCGTGCCGAGATGCAGAGCATTGATGCCGGTGGCCATGACAAGTTTAACTAAACTGTCCGCGGGAATTAACGTGGCCACACACAGTATTTTATTTCAGTAACAAAGTGAATGGAGCAGAACACGCAAATGTCTCCACCAGTGCAGTGACTGGGTGTGCTCAGAGTCAACCTGGTAATGATCAAAACGATTATTGTATGCTTAGTTGTGGTTTGGCAACAAATACATTTTCTGTATCTCAAATGCAAATCACAGTTACAGTGAGCACGACATTTATCACTTCGCAACTGCACTTCTCAAAGTGAAGAAAATGTAAATGAAAAAAATATATATATTTCCCATCAGGTTCACGGTTATAATTTTAGTTATTAATAAAATGCATTGTGCTGATTGTTGATTGCCTTATGGAATTAATAAGAACGTATTTCTTTTTATAATTGGACATGGTGAGAATTCAGTAAAATAATTTTCACAGAGATTTCACACGATGTTTACATACGTAATTTAATCCCTTATTAAGACATTTTGAATTACTAACTTGAGTACGTGTAGGCTATTAAATATTTCGAGATCCATAAGTGTATAGAGAGTATATAAACATGCACATAAGAGTGTGCATTTATTCCAGCCTCACTGAAGTCTTCTGCATGTGTCCACTTTCGCTTTCCTTTATTCTCTCTCTGTCTGGACTAGAAGGAAGTCTTAAATTGTACTGGCCCCGGTTGCATTCTTGCCAACAGCAAACTGAGGAACTGGTTCAGTGGAATGATTTATTCAACCCTTGACTCTCTGAGCAGAAGTCTTTACTTCACAATGTAGGCTATTTTTAGCAGTAGTGCTCCAATATGGTAAGGTTAAAGCATTCACTCCCATGTTGGCTGGAAGCAGTGAGTTTATGAAATGAGCTGTTTATACAATAGGTATGAGATCAGTTGATTAGGCGAATCGTACAGCCACTGAGACACATTGATTGTGTTGGTTTACGTGTGTATGAGTTCATGTGTGTCAACAGCAGTGTTGAGGAAATAAGCAATCTGATTACGTAACTCGCGTTACTTGTAATGAGTTACCCCCAACACTGGTCAACAGTATATAGAAGATCCTGCTTTTTTGTGAACATCTGAATGTTACACATGCCAGTTGTCTCTTCAGGTTGAAACACTTCTGTCAGACTTGCTAGTTGCCAGTTATGCTCAATTTGTTCTCTGTAATCTGTGACGATATTTTGTCATTTTTTGACTTGCCGAGCTAAAGCAAATGTATTTTCTAATAGCGGTTCCTCTTGCGTAATTTATCTGAGACCCCAAAGATGTCTCAAATCCAGCTGTCATGATTCACTCGTTTTCCATGAACCAAGAGCCTCATCTGTCAGCACAAACTCATTTTTACTACAGCGTGGCACTACATTTTATTAAGCCACAGTATATATGTAATTCTTAAAAGTGTCATTATCAGCTTATAAAATATTTGGTATCTGCAAAAATAAATGCTGTTTTTAGAGTATGTAAAAACCTGGAGGTTTTTAGAGTACGAGCACAGCCTCTAGACGAGAAGTTAAAACAATCACTCGCTCCTTGTTGAGGTTTTGTTACCATGCAACCATTGTAGACAGATCAACGGAAAATAAATCTCATGTACAGAGCGTTTTTTATTTGATAAAAAAAACAAGATATTGTGGTCATGAATTAAGAACTTGATTCCTTAGTTTTCGCTGAATTGTGGCCACAGTTAAAGTAGATTGAAACCGGTAAAACTAAAAAAAGGGAACAAATGATAAGAATCAAACATGACCACAATTGAAACAAAACTTGGTAACTAATTAATAAAACATGGCCACACACACACACAGTCGTGGGAAGTGGGAACAAATTCTTAATTGGTGGCCATAATATCTTTTTATTTTTTGCATGTGATGTACGGGCTCTGTGCTTAAAGAGTCGGTTGTTGTTATGTATCGGTCAATATAAACTCAGAGTTATTAGTTAGAATAATTTTAATGAATCTTTAATAAATAAAATAATAAAATAATTTTAATAAATAAAAATAATTTAAATTTTACCATGGTATATGTACTAAACTCACTTTGGACCACATGAAATGTTTTAAATGTGGGTGTTCATATAACAATTTTAGGATTAGTTAAACACACACACACACAAAATCACTAAACTGAGTGATTTAACCTAAACAAGACAAATATCTTTTCTTCCAGTGAATACCAGCAGCCTTCTTGTTTGTTCAGGAAAGCTGAATGAATGAGCATATGCGTGCGTCTTAAGGATCATGTGGCTCTTTCTCGGCTGTATTTCTTTTGTAGAGAGAGACTCCTTTAAGGCACAGACCGCCTTCCAATCCTTTGAGTGGATAAGAATGGATGTGAGCAGGACAAGGTGACTGGTCCTTATCTGTCACATGCTTCACTTGCTCTCTCTCTCGCTCTCATTCTCTCGTTTTCTTCTCCTACACCTCCTTCACCCTCTTTTCTCTCTCACACACTCCCTGTTCTTGCATTATTGTATCTCGGAAATGAGTGTGCTCTGTGTTTTACCTAGCTGAGAGGATGAGGGATGAACTAGGCACAGTATTTTTTCTCTCTGATCCCCCCTCCTATTCCCTGTTTTCTTTTTGTTTCATCCGACTGTGAGGAATTTTCTTTCTCCTTGGTGTCTGCGGAGCTTCAACTTCCCGATATGTATTCTTTTGATGACTATAGGTAAGAATTTGTCCTGTGTGGTTTTTGTTATTACCCTGTTTTCTGAGTTCCTCGGAGGATTACCGGACGTTTCACTTTAAAAAAAAAAAGTTGGTTTGAACAACGCGAGTGGCTTTTAGTGTGTTAACTTTGTGATTTTTTCCCCCACCAGCTATTCCCTCAGTGGAATGAGCTTATTAATCTACAAAAACATGCTTGGGTTCAATAGCTACAGAGTAGGAGTCCCAAACCCACTCCATGTTTTACTGTTGAGTCATTTAGCATTTTGAAAAAAACATGGGTTTAAATAAGAAACCAGGACACTGGGTTGGAGTTTTCAGTCTGCATTTTTATAGCATTGTGAGTTTTTATCCTGCAACTGTTTCTTGCAGATTGTTTTAGGGCAAGATGATGTACAGTACAGCAGTTTTGTGTAGATGTTTTAAATGTGTATGCTCATCGAAATGTGAGCCAGAATATTTTGAGATTTCTTGGCTTAATGTACACTTAAAACCAGAAAAGAAATGAGTTAGGCAAGATAGTTTACAGTAAATGAGAATGTGATGTCCCACAACTGGGAAGAACTCCAGGCAGTCAACATCAGCTGGAGCCGTGTGCCATGTAGGGACAAAAGTGTGGTTAAGCCTTGCATTTGATCCGAAGCAAAGCCAAATTTGTGGTACAACTCTTTCACCAAAGCTCTTTATTTTGCTTCAGAGACAACAACTTGGAAAGTACTGACAGTGGCAAGTCACTCATGGTATTAGAGACTGTACAGATGGTAACCTATTAGTAACCGGTGAAGGCAAAGCAATCATTGAATATTTGTTGAGACTAGACTGACTACACAGCTCCTTCCTCTTTCTTTCACCCTCTGGCTGTTTTCCTTCTATATTTGTCTCTTAAAAAGAGTGTAACCCAGTACAGGCCTATTTTCGCTACTGATTGCTAGCGCGCTGGTAATTCAAAGTATTTTCCTTTAAGGATAAGGATTAGTTAAGAGTGTCCGGCACCTGGTATACAGTGACCAGAATGTGGGGGAAGGGTGCGGGCCATTGGTCCACTTTTCTCATCATCAAGGAAACCGCTTCCTAGCTCAATATCATGATCTGATGTCTACTTGTATTCTAGTGAACTGCATGTCTCTCTAGTGCGTAAGGTGTTTCGCTTGCTTTTAGAAGTTATCAGTTGTGATAAAAGCCTGGGACCATATTCACCAAAATCTTAAAGCTAAAAGTTGCTCTTAACATGGAAATGTAGCAGCAACTCTTAAAATTTACGAGCGTGTCACTCCTAATTTAAAAGCTCGTAAATCTTTTATTTTAAGAGTAATTCACCAAACATATTACGCTAAGCTCCAGTTCAGCGGTTTTCAATCATGAAATAAAAAAATCAATGGACTCCAATGTCTACAACTATAAAACATATATTTATTTTGATATTGAGTATCAAATAAGGTGCGTATATCTGTTTTTTATATTTTATAAATTTTTTCTTCTGGGTTAATACAATACTGCACTTTCCATATCTCATATTTCCGCATCTCATATGATCTCAGATGATTTGTGTCATCATTTAAAGTAGTTTCCAGTGCTGAACCGTCTCATTTTGACAGTTCTTTGAAAGCCACGCTTGTGGAACAAAATGCTGACCTAAGTATGGTTAGTGTGTGCTCTGGTTTCTCTTTAAATGTGTGTCAGTGACAGCCTGGCTGACCGTCCGTTTCGTGACCTACCACATACATTTCTAGTAAATTCACAAAACAGTTTTTAATAGTGATTTACCCAAATTATTTTTTTTACTCAAATTAGTTTTCATTTAGCTGACAAGCAAAAATAAAGTTTATTTAATCATTAATTCATTAATTAAATGTAATAATCACGACTCAAGTAAGTCTATAATGTCTATGAAAGTCTAAACATTTTAATTGCACACGAGGCAGTTTTTATGCCAACTTTTTAATGATATTTATATCTCTACTACAATTCATTATTGAAACATAAACATTTAAACGGTGGCTGTAATAACAACTTGTCTTCATGACAGATATATTTAAACATACATTAAAGGGATAGTTCACCCACAAATAAAAATTACATCATCATTTACTCAAACCTTATGTCGTTCCAAAATCCATATGATTTTACTTTCTCTTCTTGAACACAAAAGAAGATATTTTTAAAACAGTAGCCATTGACTTCCAAGAAGTCAAACTCAACAAGGTTTAGAACAA